AACTTTTTTAAAACATTTATTTTTTAGTTATAGGTGGACACAATATCTTTATTTTACTTTTATTTGGTGTTGAGGATCGAACTCAGTGCCTCACTCATGCTAGGTGAGCACATTACCACGGAGCCACAGCCTAAGGACCTAGCTAGTCCTTAGAAACTTTGTTTTTAACCCAGAGGTGCTATGAGCTACATATCCAGCTCTTTTTATTTTTTAATTTTCTGAATCAGGGTTTTGCAGGATACTGAGGCTGGCCTCAAATTTACAACCCTCCTGCCTCAGCTTCCTGAGTTGTTGGGATTACAGGTGTGCACCACATCACTTGGTTTAGAAACTGCTATTTTGTAGCAATTTGATATTACTGTGATATCTGAGCATGTGATTATTTTTCTGGTAATTCACTTAATTGTACTTTACAAAAATATTAGTCCCCATTGGATTGGAAACAATAACTTTTCCCTTATCACAGATAGTGAGAATAGCCCTGCTCAACCCACTTTGTGTGTGTGTGTGTGTGTGTGTGTGTGAGTGTGTGTGTTTGGGGGGTGGGTTCTGGAAATTGAACCCAAGGCCTCACACATGCTAGACAAGTGCTCTACCACTGAATTACATGTCCAGCCCTCCCTGTGCCTTTTCATTTGTTTGCAGTTGGGTCTGGTGGCACATGCCTGTAATCCCAGTGGCTCTGGAGGCTGAGGCAGGAGAATCAAGAGTTCAAAGCCAGCCTCAGCAAAAAGTGAGGTGCTAAGCAACTCAGTGAGACCTTGTCTCTAAATAAAATACAAAATAGGGTGGGGATGTGGCTCATTAGTCAAGTGCCCCAAGTTCAATCCCCAGTGCAACTCCCCCTCAAAAAAGAGTTAATGTAACAATGCTGAGTGACCCTAGGAGCATTTTAACTCTGAGCTTCATCCCCAACCCTTCTTTTTCTATTTTATTTTGAAACAGTTTCTCAAAATAGGATGGCTTTGAACTTGTGATCCTCTTGCCTCCTTTCCTAAGTAGCTGGGATTCTAGGTGTGGGCCACTACACCCAGTTTTCCAGTCCTTTCTTTGTGTCCTTTCTTTGTGTGTACAAGTCCTTTCTTGTTAGTGGCCCAGGCTTGATCCTAAGATCCATTCAAACCTGGTGATGTACACCTCTAATTCTAGTGGGGGGCAGCTGGGGCGCTTTACCACTAAGCTACACCTCCAACATTTTTTGTTTTTTATTGTGAGACAGGGTCTCGCTAAATTGCTGAGGCTGGCCTCAAATTTGCAATCCTCATGTCTTAGCCTTTCTAATAGCTGGGATTCCGGGAGTGTGCCACTGTGCCCAGTTTATAGGGTCTTGTTACATTGCCCTGGCAATGTCCCACTCCTGGGTGCATACCATTGTCCTGCCTCAGATTCCCAAGTACCTGGGAGCAGAAGTGCAGGTCACTGTGCCCAGCTCCTGCGTCAGTCATCCTTCCTGATCACAGGTCCCCATCAAAGTGTGCTGCTCCAAGCTTCTTTGTTCCTGTTCTCTCCCTTCTGGTCTTTTCTCTCTTCTACATCTGGGGCTCTGAGAGGCTTTTACTTTGTCAGTGTCTCCCAGAGAGCACCAGGTAGGGCAAGATCCAGGTCCCAGGTTTCTAATCTCCAGGCTCTACTACCCACAGGGCAGCCACCACATGACCTTGGGCAAGTTCTCTAACTCTCTGAGATTGGTTTTTACGGGCAAGGCCCTGGGTTCGATCCTCAGCACCACATAAAAATAAATTAATTAATTAAAGATATTAAAAAAAATAAAAAAGCAATGGGGATGTAGCTTAGTGGTGAAGTGCCCCGGGAGCAGGTGAAGGGAACCTAGGGTTGAGGGACGCTCCTGTGTGTGTGTTGGGGACAGACTTGGCTCTTTCTGGGACCCAGCTAAGTTCTTGGTACCTGAGCAAGAACCCACCTAGGAAAACAATAACAACAACAAAAAACCCACCTGGCTTAGGGCTGGCTGGGTCCCAAAGGAGGATTTGGGAGCCCAGGAAAGCATGGTGAAGGTCACATGACGTCTGAAACCTAAGTTACCCCTGATGGATGGCCTGAAAGTCATGGTCCGAAAGTCATGGCCCCCAGATCACCCCCCAGGTACTTCAGGACCTTCCAACATGGCCTGCTGCCCACTAGGTCAAATGAGAAGCCCTTTCCTGGGGTCTGCTCAGGGTAGGAGTGGAAGAGGAGACAGACGGAAGAGAAGGGCGTGAGGTGACAGAGCATGCCAGAAAGGACAGTTTGAGGAGTCTTTTCATTTCCTGGAGGCAGGAGGCACCATGGGATGTACATCGGCATACCGTTCTAGCATGTTCCAGGTTGGAATCCTGAGTCTTGCATACTTAAATGAGGAAGCTGAGGCTCTGAAGCCACACAGACAATGACATTATTAGCTGTGTCATTTTGGGGCAAATCCTTTGAAATATCTGAGACTCTGTTTCCAAATCAGTAAGGCGACAGCATACTACTCACTGGGTTTGGGAGGATTCAGAACTGACATGTGGTGCCTAGCACATAGCCAGTACTCATTAAATATTAGTTATTAGTAGTAGTAGTAGAAGTAGTATCAAGGATTGAACCCAGAGGCACTTTAACCCTGAGCTACATTCCCCAACTCTTTTTATTTTTTGTTTTGAAACAGGGTTATGCTAAGTTGCTTCAGGCCTCAAGTTGCTGAGGCTGGCTTTGAACTTGCGATGCCCCTGCTTCAGCCTTCTGGGATTACAGGTTGCACCAGGGAGCCCAGCTAAATATTATTTTAAAAAACAATAAAAATAAAAAGAGCTGGGGATGTAGTTGTTGGGAAGTGCTCCTGAGTTCAATCTGGGATTACAGGTGGCACCAGGGAGCCCAGCTAAATATTAGTTATCATCATCATTAAGTTAAACTTTCTGATCTTCAGGGCCCTTATCACTAAATTCATGGGATCAGGATGAGTTGACATGGGAGGCAGTGAATTGTAGCAGAGAAGCATTTCATCTCTGCTGGGCACAGTGGCACATGTCTTTAACCCTATCTACTCTGGAGGCTGAAACAGGAGGATGACAAATTCCAGGTAAGCAACATAGTGAGACCCTGTTTCAAAATAAAATGAAAAGGGGTGAGGATGTAGCTTTAAGGGTAGAGCACTTGCCTAGCCTGTGTAGGAAGCCCCAGGTTTAGATCCCAGTACTGGAAAAAGAAAAAGGTTCATCTCCGGAGTCAGATTCCCACCTCTGCCAGGTATAACTCCATTTCTTCTTCTCTACAGTGGGGAGGAATTTGAGTCTGTGCAGTGCTTGGTCCTCCTGAACAGTTAATGGACCTCCATTTTCTTCACCCAGCTTTCTCTTCCCAGCCTTTACAGGCTGATCTCCTGAATTCCTGGCCAGATTTCTTTCTATGAACAAACATTTGCATAATTATTACTTCCGGAATTCTGGATTGCTACTCTACACTTTCCCTGGGTGCCCCATATGGATTCAGAGGGGCAAAGTGACCTGTTCAGTGCCACATAGTGCTCATGTTTGGATTGTGGGACATGAATCTGATCTGCCATTGTGTTTCTTTTAACATAGGGACACTTTTCCTTCTTTCCTTCCTCTCCTCTCTCTCTTTCTCTCTCTCTCTCTCTCTCCATCTGTCTCAGTCTCAAGTCTCTGATTCTCTGTTTTTAGATGGAACTGGAGATTGAACTCAGGAGCACTTCCCAACAACTACCTCCCAAGCTCTTTTTATTCTTATTATTTTTTTAAATTTTGAGATAGAGTCTTGCAAGTTGCTGACTGGCCTTGAACTTGTGGTCTTCTCAGCCTCCTGAGTCACTGGAATTAGAGGTGGGCACCACAGATCCTGGTTTCTTTTTTCTTTTTTTTAGTTGTAAGTGGACACAAAATACCTTTATTGGATTAATTAATTTATTTTCTATTTGGTGCTGAGTCAGATTCCCATCTCTGCCAGGTGAGACTCCATTTCTTTTTTCTACCACTGAGCCCCAGCCCCAGCTCAAGAGCAGTGTCTGAGGGAGTCTTGGTTATGCCTTGGAAGGGGGTGACTTGGGAACACTATTTATAGGGTAAGGGGGTCTGAGTTCTAGAGGTATCAGGTGGTCTTTTTTTTTTAAGGCAGGAAAGTGGGATCGGGCTGGATTGGTGACTTAATAGTTTAGGGTGACAGAGAACTAACAAGAGGCTCTTAAACATGATATCAAACTGTGGTCTGGTCACGGATATATTTGCTAAGGTGAGCAAACTGTTTGCCCTAACAAATTGGTTTGCAAGTATTTCCTGAGGCAAACAGTGCGGTGGTTATTTATTGGTTTACAGTCTTGTCTTTCTGGGCAAGAGTTTCCTGGAACAGTGAAGTCACGTTGACACGGGGACCTCAGTTCTCAAACTGAGTATAGGGGTAAGGTCGAGGAAGATAGGCATAGCTCTTAGACTTATCCAGTCTCCTACTGATGGGCACTTACTTCCCTCCCAGTATTTCTCTGTCACCCGCCGTCAGTGCTGCATGACACCCTGAACATGCATGGCTGAGAGTTTCTGGGGTTCCCATGCATTGCTAGGCAGTGAGATATGAGCAACTGCAATTTTCCTAGAGTTCTGTATTCTTTCTAACCTCTTTGCTTCCCAGAAGAGGAAAGCCTCCCTCCAAGGGCCACCAGAGCAGACGGCAGGAACTGCCAGGGCTTTGCCCACACCGGCTGCCTGCCCACCCGCCCGCCCTCCCTTGTTCTGTCAGATTAATGGTGACCTGTGACCTTGACAGGCTGGCCACACTCCCGGCCAATTTCAGCCTGTGGAAAGGAGTCCCAGGGGTGGTCAGGGCCTGGGGATGTGTTGGCCAGATGGGCCTGGGAGGTCTCGGGTTGGCTTATCCCAGGAGGCAGAGCAGGTGGGCAGCCCCTAGTGCCCCCCCCCATTTTCCCCATCATGCATCACTAGGCTGGAGGAGAAGCCAGATGGCGGGGATGGGGCAGCCTTGTAGCTTCTGGCCTGACAAAGGATCCTCTATGCTGCTCCCCCCCTGCCACTGATCCTGACCAGCTTGGCGAGGCTAGTCTCCCGCTACCCAGTCCCCTCAGCCCTGGCCACCTCCTGCCCTGGGCAGCTTTTCTGCTGAGACTGTCTCTTCCCCCATCTCATTCGTGGAGGAAATTTCCAGGCAATGCTCCTGGAGGACCTTGGACTTGGAAACCGTCTTCTCAACCTTAGAGTGGGCAACGATGGCCAAGCCTCTGTGACTCCTGTGGTTGCAACTGGTCACAGATTCCAATGCAGTAGCAGGACAAGCGCCACGGGTCAGGTTGGGATGGTGATGGCGGAGGCCTAGAGTGGAGGGTGCTTGGGGAAGAGCCTCATGGTGAGAAGAGGTCTGGGAATCAGGATTAACTCATTAGAGAATCCATATCTGCTCCCCAGAAGAGTCCTTGAGATGGCCGCAGTTATCAGTCTCCCCATCGGAAATGGGGCTAATTAAATCCTTATCATAGAAAATAGTCCTCAGGGTGACGTTAACCTAAGGGTGGGATAAGCCAACCCAAGACCTCCCACACAATACAAGGAAGAATCGGTTGACAGTAAGCACTCAATACTTGTGAACTAAATCTCATTCTTTTTCTAAATCTAGAAAACGTTTGCAAGCCTGAACTACCAAACGCCCCAGGGTGGGCAGATGAGGATTCCAGGACATCAGCAACCCAGTAGCCAAGTGTTCAGGCTCCCAGTCCTCCCTGAAGACGTCTCTGGTTACAATTTTGTGATCCTCTTGCTGGAACTCGGTTTCCTTATCTGTAAAATGGGTTAACTATCAGCAGTTGCCCCCCAGGGGTACTGTGAGTAGTAAGTCAGCTCTCATTTGGGATGTTGAGGGAGTATAATCAATAAGTATAGCTGTTATCAGGAGGCAAGTGGGGGGAAACTGAGGAAGGTGTTCAGGTTTGGGGGTCCCCCAGGTTAAACCTGGAAGCATCTCCAAGTCAGATCTGCCTTGGGGATTAAGGAAGGGGAGAAAAGGGAAAAGCCGCGACAGGGTGGCTGGGGGCCTGGGTTTCCTTCTAGGTTCTGCCTGTATTTTGCTGTGTGACTCCAGGCCTCCGCCTTATCTGGCTCCTACCATTTTTCTTTTTCTACCACTTTTTTCTTCTTTCTTTCTTTCTTTTTTTAAACTAGAGATTGAACCCAGGGTGCTTAATCTCTGAGCTACAATCCCAGACCTTTTTATTTTTTATTTTGAGATAGGGTCTCACTAATTGACTGAGGCTGACCTCCAATTTGCAATCCTCCTGCCTCAGCCTTTCGAGTGGCTGGGATTACAGGCACGTGCCACTGCTCCCGACCATAGTTTCTTCTCCTTCTTTTTTTTTTTTGGTCCTGGGGAGTGAATCCAGGGGTGCTTTACCACTGAGCTACAATCCCCATTTCGTTGTATTTGTGTGTGTGTGTGTGTGTGTGTGTGTGTGCGCGCGCGCGCGCGCGCGCGCACGCATCCGCGCACATGTGGTGCTGGAGATTAGAACCCAGGGTCTTGTGCATGCAAGGCAGGCACTCTACCAACTGAGCTATATCCCCAGCCCTATATTTTTATTTTGAGACAGGATCTTGATAAGTTTCTGAGAGTCTTGCTAAATTGTTGAGGCTGGCCTCAACCTTGCAATCCTCCTGCCTCAGCCTTCTAAATCACTGGGATTACAGCCTGCACCTTCTTCTTTTTTGTCCTCTACCATTTCTCAGGAACCTGTGGTTCAAATACACCCTTTTATTTGAGTCAGAGCACGTGGAAGCAAAGGCCTGGGGAGAGAGAGGCAAGCCAAGGCCAGCCCAGGGTCTGTGGCCAGGCCAGCTCTCCTGTGGGGCTGCCTCCAGGAATCCCTCCTCACACACAGAGCCTCGGAGCCAAGAGAAGTCGATTAATAACAAAGTAATGAGGTAATTACTGTGATTTGGAAAAATTACCAGTGACTGCTTTTTGAGGGAATTCAGAAGACAGAGAAGGGTGAGGGAAACATCTGTGAGGAGAGGGATGAAATGTTTTTTGGATGAAGTGAGAGTGTGGGTGAGGTGTGGGGCCAAAACAGGGAGCAAGGGTTCACGCGGGGTGGGAAGCTGCACCGGTGGGAGCATGCACGGCGTGGGACTTCTGGAAAGAGCGATGGAGGTAGGGGCCTGAGCGTGAACCCGAGGGTGGGATTGCAGGTCCTAGTGACACCCTGACTCTGGCTGTTGCAAAGCAGCAGTTTCCAGGGTGGGGGGGAAACCTGGAGCCCGAGGCCTGATCCTTTTCCTACCCCAGCCTGCAGCCTCTGAGCACCCTGGACTGATCCCCGTCCTCCGAGTCAGCAGTCTGCAGAAGGACGGGGTGAAAGACTCCAAGCAGGAGAGGCTGGGAGGAGCTCAGAGCAGAGGCTGTCAAGATGTCATTCTTGGATTGGCAGCGCGGTCCTCACCTGAGAATTTGTTATTCTCGGTCTACCACGGACCCAGTGAACCAGAAAGTGGAGTGTGGACTGGAAATCTGTTTTAACAAGTCCTTCATAGAGGTGTGAACGGAGAGGCGGCGCCAGGCCTGGGAGATGCAGGATGGAGACTGTTTTCAGAGCCTTTTTTTTTTTTTTTTTGGTACCCGTGATTGAACCCAGGGGTGCTTAACCTCTGAGTCACATCCCCAACCCTTTTTATTTTTTTTTTTTATTTTGAGACAGGATCTTGCTAAATTGCTGAGGCTGCTTTAGCCTCCTGCACAGCTTACTTTTAAGAGGTCAAATCCGCAGGAACTGATGTCACAGTGGCTGTGGAAGATAGTATGGTATAGTACCTGGAGCCACAATAATTACAGTGACCGTGACAGGACTGTATTTTGCATTTTATAGATACTACCTTATTTCATCCACAGCAACCCCAATGAGTAGATATTGTAATGATCCTTTTTTTTTTTTTTTTTTTGCATCATTGAGGAGCAGAGAGGCTGAGTGGCCAAGGTGGCACAGCTGATAGGGGTCGGAACCAGGATGCAGTTTCAGCTTCCGGATGCTGGGATTTCACTTCCTCTCTGAAACCAGGCTGCGTGGATCGTCTGAGGAGAGCAACCTGGTGAAATCAGCACTGCCCAGGGGAGACGCAAGTTCAAGGGAGGCCGTGTTGGTCAGCTGTGCCTTCCTATAGGGAAATACCGCCCACAGGCCACTAGTGAAGTGAAGAGAGGTTCTCTTGGGCTCACAGTTCTGGAGGTTCAAGTCCAGGACTGGGAAGCCCCACTGGTTTGAGCCTCTGTTGAGGGTGGCACATCATGGCAGAAGTGCATGGTGAAGCCAGTGTACATCTCTAGTCAAGGGAGGGGGAACAGGCAAGATCCTGTAATCCCCTTTATTTACACATCTCCAGCCCTTGTTTATTTTGTGACAGGATCTCACTAAATTGAAGAGGCTGGCCTCAAACTTGTGATCCTCCTGCCTGAGCTTCCAGAATTCCTAGGATGACAGGCATGGGCCTAGTTAGACTTACTTCCAACTGTACTGTTTTATAGATAATGTCCTTGAGGCTCAGAGATTGCATAGTGAGTGGCCCAATAAAAATTTAAAGCAAGGCAGCAAGAATTTGGTATTCTGGCTTTTAATGGTGTTATACAGACCCTAGACTTGATGGGGACCACCCCACTCAAAGTGGTGCTTTCCTGGTTCTTGCTGATCTGAAATGCCACTCTGTCCCCAGTACTTAGGACAGAACCAGGCACAGAGTATAACCACAATGAATGTCTGTTAAATGACATTAATAATGTAAGTCTAAATAAAATATCCCTTTTTTTAAACAGTATTAGAAATAATCCCTAGTGTGCTGGGCAAGTGGTCTGCCACTGAGCTACCACCCAGTCCAATAAAATAGTCTTTAAAGGCCAGGAGCAGGGATTAAATTGATGAAGGCTCTTTCACATGTCAGGCCCTTACCCCAGGCCAAGTTAATTCTTCCAGAGATTTCAGCTTTTCATTTTCTTAACCTCATTTTACAGATGAGGACAGAGACTCAGGGGGTAAGTGACCTGTTTATGGTCACACATTAAATCAGTGGAGAGCCAGGGTTTGGGTCCAAGTCTGTCTGGTCCCCAAGCTGTTCCTTTTTTCTATTGTCCCAGTCTGTGACTCAGGCTGGGGGAGTAAGGAAGGGATGGGCTAAAACAATGTAGCAATAATAATAATAATAATAGTTATCACTGTGGGTATGTAATCCTCACATGGAGAAGGGAGGAAGGTGCTTCAAAATTGAGGCTGAACCTGCACAATGGTGCCTGGGAGGCTGAAACAGGAGGGTTGCAAGTAGCTCAGTGGTAAAGCACCTCTAGGTTCAATACTCAGCACAAAAACAAAATAACAACAATAACAACAACAAACCCCTAGAAACAACAACAACAAAAAGTGAGGTTGAGCCAGCCACAGTGGCACTGTTATCCCAGCGACCCAGGAAGCTGAGGCAGGCAGATCAGAAGTTCAAGGACAGCTCAGTAACTTAGTAAAACCACTTGTATGGAAGGAAGGAAGGAAGGAAGGAAGGAAGGAAGGAAGGAAGGAAGGAAGGAAGGAAGGAAGGAAGGGCAAAAAATTAAAGAGGGCTGGGGGTATTGCGCCCTGGGTCCTCAGTAGCAAGGAGAAAAAAGTGAGGCCAATGCAGCAGGATGACGTCCAAGGGCAGCTGGGCAACTTAGAGAAATGCTGTCTCAAAATAAAATAAAACAAAACGGCTGTGGGTGCTGCTCTGGGGTAGAGTACTTGCCTATCATTTAGAATGCAGAAGGCCCTGGGTTCAAACCCCAGTAGGCAAAAAATAAAACACAAAACAAAACAAAGCCCAGCACAGCGGCACATGCCTGTGATCCCAGGGGCTCAGGAGGCTGAGGCAGGAGGATTGCAAGTTCAAAGCCAGCCTCAGCAACAGTGAGGTGCTAAGCAACTCAGTGAGACCCTGTCTCTAAACAAAACACAAAATGGGGATGGGGATGTGGCTCAGTGGTTAAATGCCCCTGAGTTCAATCCCTGGTACCTGAAATACACAAAAAAATCCCCAAGAAGCCTTGTTTCCCACCCCTCCTCTCTCTCACATACCCCTCACCTCCAACCACCGCTGAGCTATTCCTCTATCCCTTTCCCTGTCTTCTGACAGAGGTGAGTTGGCCTCATTGCTAGTACTCTGGACGGTGCAGTCCTGGCTCTCTGCTGCCCCCTTCTGGTATCTTTAGATGTGGTGCTTGGTGCAGAATCTGCCTACCCTCCAGCGTTCAGCCTGTATTTAGCCCTTGACACTGTTTTTTTTTTTTTTAAAGATGTACAAGTATTTATATACATGGATATTTTAGTTGTAGTTTGACACAATATTATGTTTTTAAAAAAAATTATTTATTTTTACGTGGTGCTGAGGATGCCCCTTCTTGGGCCTCTGGTTCTTCCTTTGTGAAGTGCTGGACTGTCACTAAAAGCTCTCAGACTATAAATCTGAATCTACTGGCTCTTATTTTCTCCGGCGTTCCCTACCTGAGCTCAGCTTGAACTGTCGTCGTCACTCTCGGGTTTATTTTCCTGTCCTGGGGTCCAGGATTAATGTCTGGTTTGGGAGAAAAGCCCTCCTCTACTCACCCTGCCTGCCCCCATCCCACAGCAAGTGTCCTGCTTCCTCAGGTCACTCTCTTGCTGGAGAGAGGCTCCAGGGCTCAGGGCCTGGCCTCTTTGTCTCCATCTAACCTCCCTCTTAGGTTGTCTAGATTGAGGAGAGCAGGCTGTGCCCGCGCTGAGTGACTCCATGATGTACTGAACTGAACGGTAGCTTTCGGGCTGTGCTTATCCCTAAGTTACTCCTTTTGTAAAGCCGTAGTTTTGCCGTGAGTGCTTCATCTTAAGTCCAAATGCCAAGGTAGAATGACCGTACACTTTGTGCCAACTTATCAAATGAAATCAAAAGCATCTGGACACATGGACATCCCAAATCATATCAGGAACACCAGACCAGGAGGTTATCAGCCTTGCCAGAGGTAACCCCTCCCCTAAAACCCGTAAGAGGAGGAGCCCCACCAGACTGGACACAGCAGCACCCTAACCCTGTCACCTGGTCACTCATCGGGAGCTTTGCCCAGGAAAATCGCCACAGTGACAAACTTCTGGCTCTGTCCCTAAGGCTTCAGTCCAGCTTGGGTTCTCCTGCCTGTGACTGCCATTTATGGCCCACTGCGAGCTGACATCTCATGCTGACACTGAGACTGCCAGCTGTCCCCTGTAGTCTGCTCTCTCGGGTCTTGACAATTCTGTGGAACTGGGGCTGTAACTCAGTGGCGATCTTGTGAGGCACTCAGCACCACATAAAAAATAAACAAATAAAATAAAAGTATTGTGTCCATCTAGAACTAAAATAATTTAGTAAGACTTACAAACAAGCAAGCAAACAAACAAACAAAAATCCCTTGCCTACCTTGATGCAGTGGTACATGCCGGTGGTTCCAGTGACTCAGGAGGATGAAGCAGGAGGATTGCAAGGTTGAGGCCAGTCTCTGTATCTCAGTGATATCTTGTCTCAAAATAAAAAGTAAAAAGGGCTGGGGATGTGGCTCAGTGGTAAAGCACCCCTGGGTTCAATCTCCAGCACCAAAACAAACTAATAAAAAATGCACTTGGCCAGACGTGGCGCACAGCCCTGTGATCCCAGCTACTTGGGAGGCTGAGACCGGGGGGTTGGCAAGTTGAGAGCCAGCCTGGGAAATTTAGTGAGACTCTGTCTCAAAATAAATAAAAAGGGCTGGGAAAGTAGCTCAGTGGTAGAGTGCTTGTCTGGCA